TTGTCTCCCTCACTCCATATCCCACTGTGCTGTTCATTATTTGTAACACAATGAGCCCCATAACCTGTTAAAACTACTGTCAGATTCAATTATCATGTCTGGTTTGGGTTAACGAATTTTTTAAAAGGGAAAAATTTAAATTGTTAATCCACCTTTCAATACATTTTTTATTTTCCTCTGATATATGCATGATTTTATAAATTTTTCCCTTTTTTCCCAATTTTTAATTCGAAATTCTCTGAATCTCAAGAGTTTTATAGAAAGGGGGGTTTGGCAAAATTGAACCCCCGGGCTAAAACTAGCTCCCTTTTTCCCTATTAACTTAGCGAAATCTCAAATTTGTGAGGGCGTTTTTGCCTAAAAAAATTTTTTTTACTTTCCAAACAATTTTTTCAGGGTTTTTGGGACTGTTAAAAAATTTAAAAAGTCAAAATCTACTGAATTAAATGTAAATCCGAAAAAATCAATGTACGGGGGCGGGGGTTAAAATTGTTTTCTTCGGGATGTAGGGTTAGTCCAAGTCATCTAAAAATTTAAAGGCCCCTGCCCTATTCACATTGTTTTCCCCATTCCTTTAAAAACTCCCCAAAGTTTAGAAGCACACCACTTATATAGGGCAAAATTTTGTGTGCCCTTTTTTTCCTTTAAAACTTTTAAAAAAAAAACCCGGGGGTTTCATTACTTTTGTAAAAAGCGAGGAGCGCTGGGAAACCCTTTTTGGAAGGGCCTAAATTAAATATCCCCGACTCTTCCATGAAATCAAAAGATATTTCCTGTAAATTTTCTTTAATTTAGGATACTGAAGAAATGGTTTTTAAAATCTTTTAGCAAAGTAAAATTTTGCTAAAAAAATGTAATTTTTGTTTTTAAAGTGTTTACCATTTTTAAAATTTTTTTTAAAAAATATGACCTTTCCCATTTTAAAATTTAGTTTTAAAATAAATTTCGATATGAACCGTCAGAATTAACTCGAACAAATATGTTGGATAAAACCTGGTCCCTGCTCGGCGGTATCAAGGTTATGACTTCCTTCAATTTTTAACTTTTCAAGTAGCTCATCAATTATTCTTTCCTCTTTACCAGAAAACTTTATTTCTTTTTTATGACAATGTAAGCACGGTTCGAAATTAAAATTCTATTTTATATCCTGTCTCAATAATATCTAAAATATATTTGTCACCTGTAATTTTCTTCCACTTATTAATAAACATGTTTCACTTTCCCACCTTTGAAATTTTCGGGCGTGTTACGAAACTGGCTTAATTTACTTACATTTAAAATTTGTGCTGTTTTTTCTGGCCCTGTTTCCACTTTTCGGTTGCCCATGGTCGCGTGGTGTGTGTGTGCAACCCGGTGTTGGTTCAGGGCCCTTTTCCCTAAAAAATCCCGACCATGTGTTTGTCCTGGAGTGTTGAGGTTTTGCCCCCCACCTGGGTCCTGTCTTAAGCTGTCTAAGTTTGTCATTTGTGACAACTAAACTTTTCCCAAGCTTCTGATTGTCGTCGATCTCTTTCAGACGCCTTTCCAAATCTTTATCATCACCAAATAAGTGAGTTGGCGATGACACATTTTCATATTCGTTGCATAAGCTCGAGTACCTCGATGATATTGCCGGCAGCAACAGCCGACGCCGCTGGGATGATAAATCACGATGCGAATAAGCTAATAAATTGAATGCGTCTAAGGAAAGATCAAATAACTCTTCTGCCTCCTCGGAATCCATGGTTAGTGTTTTTGTTCATTATTTGAACTAAAGGAATCATTCCTTTCGTCAAAATATCCTTGCACTCTCTGAAACGATCTGTCTCCCTGTTTCAGGTCTTTGCTGGTTTGTTTGCTTGACCATAATAATTTTTTTTTACGGCTGGGACTTGTAATGATGTACAGTTTTCTGGCCGATTATACTTCTTCAGGAGGTCTTGAACTTGAGAGGCCTTATGATCTACAGGTTCCACTAAACCCTTGTTGACTGCGGAGCCTACCACTTCGTGAACTTTTGGACCGAATTCCTCTTGTTTACTAAATTGTGCCTCAATAAATTTTAATTTTTTCAATTTAGAATCCGAAATATTTGAGGATGATTCATACTTTTGTTTTTTCGATGGCGGTTCTTCATCAGAGGGATTTTCGTCTTCGTCGGACGAGACTGGTTCATATTGGTCCTTCGAAAACACAGTCGTCCTCTCCCGTTGCTGACCTGTCGTTTAATAACATTATTAACCCCCGAGGTTAGTTTATCTAACCGAATTGACTGCGTTTCTTATATTTAATCCCTAGTTTCTTTATATTGTTCCCAAAAAAAGTGCTAACATATTAAAATTGTTCATGGGCGCGCCATATTAATCCCGTTTCAAACGGTGATCTCGTCGCCGTTGGCTGCTCCCGGGGAAAACGTTTCCATTTGGAAGACTACTTGGCCTTGAGCGCGGCGTTACATAAAATTGTTCCGGACTATAAAATAGCTCCTGGGCCAGCGTGAATCTTTGAATAAGCGCTTTGGTCCCACTGCTTTCTGAGACGTACACAAAAAGGAAAATTGCCTCATTTTGCATATCCGGTCAGCCGTATAGCTGAGGTTTGCCTGTCGAAATTGCCAGGCAAAGCACTCTTTAAATATCCCGTGTCTTGAATTTTTCTCCATTTTCAGAATTTAATTGTGGCAAGGAGACTCCAGGCGCCGGAAAAGGCTTCAAAACCTGAAGAGACTCCGTCTCACCAGAGTGCAGATTAAAATTCTGACTCTGTGAGATAGGAACAGGATCAGTCCCTTCCGCCATGATATTAACACACTTTTTACACGAAGCAAAAGCACAGTTAAAATCCGCAAAATCTGACACAAGTTTATAACACCCAACTCAAATTTTGACAGTACCGATATTTAGTATTTCCAACAATCCGTTTTATATAAAATTTCACAATTCAAATCCTCTTAAACACTTTAAAATTTCCAAAATTTATGAGATTTTTTACACAGAGTTCTGGTCACTTTGAAAGCATCAATTTTTCTGGGGGTTCTGGTCACGTGATCGCGTCCTTTCACTCATGGTGATTCTGATTGGGAGAAGGATAACCCAAAAATTAAAAGATTCACATCGTATAATGAAAAATTGACTGATAAATTTATTTTAAATTGAAATGATATGCTACCACATTAAAAATATTCATCCAAAAGCACAAACGTAAAAATGAAATTGGGCGACAAACAAAGGAAAAACACATTGCAAAATTTAATTTATTTAAGGATTTCATTCCACATTATATATTCATGAGTGCAAAATTTTTAAAAAAAGATTTACACAACAACGTTTATAAAAACAGTCAAGGAAAATTTTCCCCTATACTCGTAAACAAATAAATTAATTTATCGCTTTTAAGAAAAATTTTAAATAGGCAGAAAACACGTAAAAGGGGTTTTAGAAACTGAGGGCTAGGTTTAAACCCAGGGAAAGGGGCCCAAATTTTTTCTTTTTTTTTAACATTTTTTATTTATCTCTCAGATCCCTAAAGGAAGAAAAAGTGTTTCATTTTAATTATATAATTATTTTAGGTATTTATTTACTAAATAATGTCAAATTTAATAGCAAATATGATACCAGATATATTCAAAGTTTAATAAAGTAAACTCTACACGGTAAAAGTATTTTATATTTTGCAATACCAACCAATACACATTTAAGAAAATTTAGGCAACATTTGCAAACAGCCTCTCGTTGTGAAAAATTTTAGGGATATTTTAAATAAAGCTTTTTACACAGGGAAATGGTCAAATAAGTGTTAAAAGTGGGTGGGGTAGGGCTACATTTTTATACATATTAAAAACATTTTGTTTAAAAAAATAATTTTGCTTGTTTAATTTGTTACCTTAATGTCATTATTTGTTTCTTAACAATGAGCAATAGGAAAACATTTTTCATAATGATGGTATTATAGATTATTTAGAGTTTCTTCATTTCTGAAAAAAAAAAACCTTCTAATGGCAAAGTTTTAATTCAGAAAAATGTCCATTGCTCATAAACCACACGGTAAATTTTGTTTAAATTTTGCATACAGGTGACATTTAAGGCATATAACTGTCCTATGTTGTCAATTTTACAGTTCCTTATAGTGCCCATTAGGGGTGTTCTATCCTCGTTATGTCCTTGAAATGATGACATATATCGTCAAACATGATAAATGTCAACGTCACAACAAAAGGCATTTTATATGTCTTAACACTTACTCTTTTTTGAAGATAATATGTCTTTTGGCAGAAGCTGCATACGCACACCTCAGGTCTTTCTTAATGCATATGTATTATGTATACATTCTTTAAGTCTTTTAAATAATGTTTTATTTATTTCACATTTCTCTATATTCTTTAAACTTTTCACTTTTACTGTAATTTGGTGGCCTTATGTTTGGCTTATACGCGAAACCAAGTGGTTTTTCATGTTCCGTGAAAGACTTGCTTTGCATATGGAAAAAAATATATTTAAAGCAAGCATGTACCAGGATATGATACATCCAAATAGTTTATTACCTGAACTAGAGGAAAAGACAATAGTGGTTTAGCTTTTGTATACAAAATCATGTTATTTAGAATTTTGGTTAATAAGATATAAGCATTTGAAATTAGTGGGCTAAGAATATGTGTAAAATGAATAATAATGCATTATGTTCTGCAATAATGCATTGATCGTTTTGAATCATTATAGAACATTACTAGTACATTTTATGTGAATACATTTCTTTAATCATTCAAGTGTGTTATTCGAGTTTAAATGTATTGATATCATCATGATAATACTTGGTACCATACGCTATGATATAACAAACAATAATTAAGAAAACATTCCCAGCCCTGTATATATATTAAATTTATGACTTTACCGGTTTAAATTATTTGCAAACAGCCATAGTGCATTAGTCTAAATACATATTTCAAATGTTAAATTATTTGCAAACAGCCATGCATAAGTCTAAACAAATGTATAATCAATCATAATGCCATTTTATTGCAGCAAATTTGAATGCAAGAGCTGTACGATAAACTTCTATTTGTCAGCTGGTAAATGTTTATCATGTAACTTCTGGTGTTTAGTTGTACCTCGTAGTGCTGAGCCGTCATGTAGGCAAGAGGATGGATATTGCAATCACGGTTGTAAAACAGGCCGTTATGGTTTCATGTGTAATAGTCGCTGCAGTGACACGTGCAAAGATGTATGTCACAGGGACACTGGTAACACGTAATTTATTGTAGTTTTTTGTAATATATGCAACCACTTGTTGAATATAAAATATTTAACTGTGTCTTTTGTTCCGTACAAAATCTAATTGGGTTGACTAGACCATACATTTAATGTTTTTTTAAATGTTATATAGCGCGTGATATGAACAATATCAGTTAAAGTCAACATGAAATGCATAGCTTAAATACCAGGGACAACATAATTTTTCAATTGTATTAAATACACGTGTAATGACGTTGAGCAAATGACTATGTATGTAAAGGTTTAAAGTTATTTAAATGGTTTTACTAAATTATGGTAAATCGTATAAGTAATCTAATAATTTATTGTTTATAATTTTTCAGAAATCATCACATGTAGTAGTTATAATTAAATGTCAGTTTACGTTACATCAATGCTAGTTAATATTATGCATTACAGAAAATAATTACAGCATCATATCAATAATAATTACAATACAAAAGTTACCGAATTATTTTTTTTCTATGCACCACTTATTTTAAATATTTTAGACCAGTGCTAATCAGTACGGAAGCGTCCTAGTGCCAATTTAACATGTGCTATAAACAAAAGATAACTCCTAGATAAGTTATTAAGGTCTCATCATCATGTACAATATTAAAACAATACAAATATAAAACCTACGACATTGTACATAAATGCCACTCATAGATGAGTTAAAAGATACTATACATAACTTTACAACAAAATCTAACATACAGGACATATCTACAAAATTACTTAAAAAGTAATTTACGTAGGAGATAAAAAAAGCCTAATTAGGAGTTTATAACTCCTACATAGGACTTTGTAAGTCCTACGTAGGACTTAATAACTCCTACGTAGGAGATATAAAAACCTAATTAGGAGTTTTAAAGTCCTACGTAGGACTTACAATCTCCTCCCACGTAGGACTTTGTAAGTCCTACGTAGGACTTTATAGCTCCTACGTAGGACTTAATAACTCCTACGTAGGAGATAAAAAAAACCTAATTAGGAGTTTTAAAGTCCTACGTAGGAGTTTATAACTTTTACGTAGGACTTTATAAGTGTTCCTCTACGTAGAAGTTATAAAGTCCTACGTAGGAGTTATAAACTCTTAATTAGACTTTTTATCTCCTACGTAGGAGTTACAAAGTCCTACGTAGGAGTTTAAAAGTCCTACGTAGGAGTTTAAAAGTCCTACGTAGAGTTTAAAAGTCCTACGAAGGAGGTATAAACTCCTAGTTAGGCTTTTTTATTTCCTACGTAGGAGTTACAAAGTCCTACGTAGGAGTTTAAAAGTCCTACGTAAGAGTTAAAAAGTCCTACGTAAGAATTCAAAAGTCCTACGTAGGAGTTTAAAAGTCCTACGTAGGAGTTATAAACTCCTAATTAGGCTTTTTTTATCTCCTACGTAGGAGTTATAAAGTCCTACGTAGGAGTTATAAACTCCTACTTAGGCTTTTTGATCTTCTTCGTAGGAGTTTTCAATGTTTATAGAACACGTTAAATTGGCACCAGGACGCTTCCGTAAATCAGTTTTTTTTCTAAAGATAATCATTCTTATTAAAGGGAGATGTTATGAATGTACCAGCTTCGACTATTGTGGACCATTTTGTCAAATACCATGCCATGATAATTGTTTTCAACAGCAGTGTGAGCAATCTTGTACTTGTATGAAAGGATGTGTGTCTACACATTGGGGTATAAAGTGTCAAAACCTATGCAACATAAACTGTATCAAACCATTTGGTAATATTACCCGTGTTTGCAATGAAACTGATGGGACATGCTTGTATGGATGTAAGACTAATAATTATTTTGGAAGTCGTTGTGATGAACATTGTCCAAATGGATGTCATAATGGCTTATGTGATCATGAATCTGGAAATTGCACCGAGGGATGCACAACTACAGAGGTATATGGTTCTCATTGTAATATTTCATGTAATGAAGGTTGTGAGGGAGGGACGTGCAACAGAGATACTGGATATTGTGATAAAGGATGTAAAACAGGAACATACGGAAATAAATGTGACATACTGTGTAGCAAAAGTTGTATAGGTGGCGCTTGTGGAAGAGAAAATGGGTTTTGCGCTTTTGGTTGTGTAACTGGTAGCTACGGAGATAAATGTGGATTACTGTGTAATGACAAATGCTTGAACTTAAAATGCGAAAGAATCGGCGGAAATTGCACCTACGGGTGTATTTCAGACTTTCTAGGATCTGATTGTAGCATAACTGCATTACAAACGAAAAACAAAGGTAAGAACTGGGAATGTTTTGTTATTTTATACATTAGGAATAATAACAAAAAATCACGTTTTAATTTCCTCCCACAACTAATGTAAATGTGACTCTGTTTGTATAAAGAGTTTCAAAAAGAAATCATACCGGTTCCATTTATTTGAAACGATTTATATCTATCCGCAAACACATATTATATCTGCTTTTATAAATCGCTATCAAAGCTCAAATCGTAGGTTCAAAATTATGCAAATCTTTTACAGAATCGGTAGTCAAAGACAGCACTATGCTTTGGGTTGCTATATGCGGATGGTCTTTATTTTTCATGCTTGTGGTTTCTGTAGCTGCCGTTATTGTTAGAAGAATTGTGAAACGTAAAAGTAATAATTTTACTTTTCTTTAAATTGTTCATATTGACATGATAGATAAAAATATAGATGTCAATAACAGTGTTTCGCATATAAGAATTTGCATGGTATAACACAAGATTCTTAACAAATAGAAAATTTGATATAAAATCGATAATATAGAAATAAGTCTTTGATAGGAAAACACACATCAACTGAAAATGACAATGTTTTGTGTGTTTGTTTGATTGTAGTTTACGTCGCACCGTCACATTGCAAGTCATATGGGGTCTTTTCAGCTTTTCTGGTTGAGGAAAATCTCATGTGCCCTTACACGCATATTTCAGGCACGAACGGGACATGAGAAGAACCACCAACGTTCCGTTAGTTAACATGATAATGATTGTTTTGATGAAATGTATGTACAATGTATTATTCAATGTACACAATTGTGTGAGTAACTATATACATGAACTGAAAATATCTGTCAACTAGATTCTTTATGCAAGTGCATCAAAGGATTAGAAAATGTACAATCTGATTGGGACTCGAACCCGAGAAATCTGAATACCATTCCATAATATATTGCCTTTAAATAAATGTAGATACAAATGATATTATGTATTTCACAGGTCACGAAAGACAAACACATACAACAATTGAAGATCAGTCACCAATAAGGCATGTATTTGCAATGCATGATAAATCTTGCTAGGTTCTTTTTTTACTAAGAAGCTCTCTATTTAAGAGATTTTGTCATATTAGTTAAACGAATGCGTTTGTTTTGATTGAATTTTCAATTATCACGAGACAATAACTTTTAAATGTGATTTAATGCAATTGCATTATTTTAAAAATATTGCCATAAAAAGTGATCCCATTTTCAATTTTCAATTACAGTTTTCAGGAAGACTATACAAATTTACAACATGAACAAGGTGAAGTGAAAAACTATGAGGAGTTACAACTTTGATAATTTAAAGCTAAATGACATGATCTTACTTTGCACTCATTACACTTTGAATTATATTGTTTGTTTTGTTAATCATAATTAACTGCTTTATAATCACATAGACTTTTTTAATGTAATACTGTTGTGCATCCATAAAACATTTCATAATCAGACTTTTGTTTAAGTCACCACAAAATATGTTTATCCTATACAAGATGCGACTTTGAATCTGTCGTGCAAAACAAAAAAACAACAAAAAGTTTCAACAAGAATACATATATGATTACTTGCAATCTGAATCCATCATGAACAATTCAGACATTCAGAAATGGCAAATATTCTTTTGATATTGTGTTGAACATCGATAAAAACAAAAAGAAATAAAAAACAATATTTGTCGAAAAACATCAATTTAAAAATATGGACGTATAATTATTCCATAAATTTCTAAGACCTATGGAATGTTTCTGCACACATTGTCCAATCATCTGTGACAAAGTAACAAAGACCTAAAAAGCATATCACAAGATATATTTCACAACATTAAAGTTCGAAGAAAAAGTTAAACAATCTGAAGAAAATTTATTCAGAAATATTTAATAACAGAATCACTGTTCATAAAGTTGCATTTAAAAGGGGTAGGTAGTGATTTGTCTCTTATGCCAGAAACACTAACTCTTCAATAATGTACATCATTTGAAAGCAACTAACAAATCAAATTAATTTAATGCATTTTAAAATGGCAGGATGTCCATGCATGTCACGTCATCAAATTATTAAATAATCTGAACAATAAATCCTTTTTCATGCCGAATAGGCAGCTTTGTGTTACATCGTAAATATATGATCCATATGTACAAACTTGCCATTTAGTCAAATTACATAGCATTTTACAGCGAGTAATTCCTTATATTATATGATAATAAATAGTAATATATATCACCTGCGTTATTGTGTTTTTGAGTTAGTTTCAACATAAATATCTAAAATATTCTTTACAAAGAGTACAAGCTTTCAAGTGTTGTCATTCATTGGATAAATACCCTTTAACATGTACTTCTTTATCATTTGGACGAAATATGCTTCAAAGTTATTCATTATCATAATTATATTTTCAAACTAATCCGTGTAAAATGTCCGTACAAAACAAATATCCAAATAGTCATGTAGTTAATTAGTGTCATATTCATTTCGGGGCCTAGTCACCATTTTTTTTAGGAATGGACAGATACTTGGCCTTTCTCCCTTTCATAATAATCAATGCTAATTGCTCCTATGCAAATTTAAAAAGTGAAAGATATTTACATGTTTTCCATTCATCATCTCGTGTATAATCAACGAGTAAACTAAATCTCGTCACAATATCCGGGTGATAATTTGCTTTCCATACAGTGCTTATAAAGTAAGCAAAGTTTGTTGGCGATCCGCCAGACAGAGTCGGGAACCAGTCCGTTAACATACCGTTTAACTTAACACAAGACGATATATTCGTCAAAATAGCCTAAATCGAGTTATAAAATTTTCCATTTATACTATTAGACAAAAGTTTATACAAAAGAACATCCCGATTGACAAAGTCAAATGCCTTTTTTATATCAATAAAAGTTCCAAATGTATCAAGTTTACTTAAAAGTCTATTTCTAATAATAGTACATGAGGTATAAACATGGTCCTCACACGACCGTTTTGAACGAAATCCTATCTGCTCATCAACAAGTTACTCTTGATCTTCTAAATGTTTCTTTAGTCTATTATTTAATACAGCTGAATATAATTTGCTAACCACCGAGAGTAAACTTATTCCTCTGTAATTCAAGGGTATACGTTTATCTTTAGTAATATCTTTTGGTATAGGGGCAATCATTGCTTTTCGCCATATACTTGGTATAATACCCGTATCAAAACACAAGCAAAAAAGTGAATGGAGTACATCTATTATGATTGGAAATTTTAACACTTCGCATGGAATTTTATCAAATCCCGTGCTTTTACAATTTTTGGCGGCTTTTACAACAATTTCAATTTCGTAACGATTCAATGGCAAATTAAGAGCAGGATTTTCTTCGAATAAGGGGTCGAGCATCTGATTTTCCATAAAGCGTTTTTCTCTGAGAATTTCCTCATAAAACTGGTTATCAAAATGATCACAATTTTCATTTACATTATATAGATCTTTAAAATCCCCAGACCATTTTTAACCATTTACCCCATGAGCATATTGCGAAAAATGGCCATTTTCACTGAAAAGCCTACTGTAACAAGTTCAAACTGCTATGAAAGTATGAAAAATGCTTCAATACTAATGAAACTTGGCACAAATGTTGACTACACCATAGCCTCTGTAACAGCATGCTCAATGGTAAATTTCCTGTTACCATGGCAACGGGGGGACGTCTCAAAATTCCCAAAAATCACTATTTTGCATTGTTTTTTTTTCCATCAAAACTGATTTTCAAATTGTGCTGCAACTTCTCAATGAATTGAGATAGAGTAAAAGGCTTTTCAGCGTCAGTTACTAGCTACCCTTAAGATCGACCTGAGGCCATTTTTAGCCTGTCACCTGTCCAAAATTTTCTTGGCAGATGAGGGGGACTTCGCCCCCCTTCAACCCCCCCCCCCCAAACAGAAGGGGGCAACATCCCCCTTCTGGCAACCCCCTGATGTTAATATTTGGATGGGGGACGGCGCCGAAAAAGGTGGGTCAATTTTTTTTAACAACATTTCTCAAATGAAAAAACAGTGTTTGGGGCCACCTAAATAGGGCATTTTTTCACTGTTTGAGGCCTCAAAAAGGGGGGGGGGGGGCAAAAGCCGTCGAAACTAACGCTTCTTTAAGGGAAAAGGTTAACAAAAAATGATGAAAAATCTTGGAATTACACAAAAACTAGATTTTCCATGTTAACACATGCCCTAACACCGAAATTTGGTGAAAAATTGTTGTTTTTTGACATTTTTTATTTTTTTTTTGAAACACAAATTCACTATCGTGAATGATATCTCCGTTATCATCATACATTTCAAGAGGTGTCGAAGGTTTCCGTTTTGGACCAAGATTTTTAATATGATCCCAGAATGCTCTAGGGTCATTTGTGCAAGTACTTTCAATGTCGATCGAAAGATTTCGCTTGTAGGCTCGTTCAGCGCGTCGTAACTGTTTATCGAACAGCCGTCTTGTCTCGGTGAATTCACTTTGCAATCGTAATCGCGTGCGTCGATCACCATGGAAACGCACGGAATTCCGCTCTGAGATGCATACGGCCTGCCACAGTTGCTCAATATCGTCGTCCCAGTAAGGCTTAAACGATTTGTAGCGTTTACGTGTTTTCTAATGACGGTATATGTTCATTCATTTCTTTTATTAAAGTATTACAAAATTGATCATAAATCAAATCAATATTGTGTTGATTTTCCCTACATAATTCAATATTACGTATCAAATTTGAAGACAAAAAGTCATCTGGAATTCGTTTTAACTTGTATATCCGTGTATTAAATGGAGGTCGTGACTGCTGATTCACGGAATTGGTAGTCTCGTCTGTTATAGCGGTACTATAATTATATGTAAATCGTAAAATGTAGTGATCCGGTAATTTACTACGCTCTCCGATTAGACTCTTAAGATTATGCTTACAAGTAAAAAATTGCTGGCAAATGCAGCAATGTGATTGTCACGGCGAAAAACAAAAATGAAAGAGAAAAAACACCCCCGACAAAAACAAAAAACACAACAGTTAAGTGTCATGATAAGGTATCTCCAAATAGCGCTGAATTGACATGTTAACTTGTTGAGAAGGTTTTTAAGTATAATAATGTAACTTGTTACAAGAGTCATGTACATGTATATGTAGTAAAGCAGTTATTTATCATTCTTGTATACTGCACACCTCTTGAGTGAGATATATCCAAGAAGTTTAATAATGTTGATATCTCAAAGGCTTTATTAGTTATGACCTGGACAAAAATTAAGTATGAAAAATAGCATAGGGCAATAACTGAAAAATAAGGCACAATTGGTTATCATTCTTATATGCTGCTTTCCTCCTAGATGAGATCTATCCATCTGAAGTTTCAAGTTGTAACCTAGAACACTTTTTGAGATAAGCTCCGGACAAAACGTATAAAACATAACAAAAGGCAGTAACTCAAAAATTATAACGGATAAAGTTATCATTCTTGTGCACATCATTCTTTCTTTATCAGATCTATTCACCTATAAAGTTTCATGTTGACATCTCAAAGACTTTTTGAGTTATGCTCCACTCAGGTGAAAAAAATAAGTATGAAAAATAACGGAGGGCAATAACTAAAAAATTATTAAGTGTGGAGTTATCACTCTTGCGCACTGCAACCTCCTGAGTAAGATCTATCTATCTATGAAGGTTCATGTTGATATCTCAAAGACTTTTGTATTTATACTGTGGACAAAAATTAAGTATGAAAAATAACAAAAGGCAATTACTGAAAAATAATGCACGGATTGTTATTATGCTTATGTGCTGCACTCCTCCTTAATGAGATTTATCCGCCTATAAAGTTTCAAGTTGTTACCTCTAACACTTTTTAAGATATGCTCCGGACAAATAGTATGAAAAGTAACAAATGGCAGTAACTAAGAAATTAAAAAAGGTAGAGTTATCATTCTTTCGCACAACAGTCCTCCTCACAAAGTCTATCCACCTATGAAGTTTCATATTGACATCTCAATTTTTTTTTGAGTTAACTTATACTCCACTCAGGTGAAAATTAAGTATAAAAAATAAAAAAGGGCAATAACTCAAAAATTAGGAAAGGTAGAGTTATCACTAAGTGAGATCTAACCACCTCTGAAGTTTTATGTTGATTTCAGTTTTTCAGTTATGCTCTGGACAAAAATTAAGTTTGAAAAATCACAAAGGGCAATAACTGAAAAATTATACAGGGTAGAGTTATCATTCTTGTGCACTGCATTTCTCCTAAATTTGATTTATTCACCTATGAAGTTTCAAGTTGATATCTCCACCTATGAAGTTTTAAGTTGATACTTTTTTAGATATGCTCCGGACAAAAATGTGGACGGACTGACGGCAGGAAGGACAGATGACGGACGGAGACTAATTTCTATATCCCCCTCGCATTTTCGGCAGGGGATAATAAAACTTTTTCCTGCTCATATCTAACATATCTAAAGGAAACTCAGAATTTTGCTCACAATAATGAGACATGAATTCTGAATGAAGTTTGATGTTGTGGTAAAGACTTGATTTACGGACCAAATAAAGTTATTGTACAACCTGGTATGGTGAATGTTTATTGTGAAACGCATATAAAAAACCAAGTCTCAGTTTAGAGAAAAAAATGTGTTATTGCGCAAGAAAATGAAATTATTCAAAAAAGACAATTAAAGCTTTTAATTGCAAATATAGAAACTTATAAATGTAATGTTCAAAAGACATTTTACACGTGAAAAGAATTACTCCGACATGAGAACACATAAGTCCAACTTTCTCGTCCTTTCCTGTTCGCATTTTCGTATTTTGAGGCGAAGAAGCGAAAATACGACATGGCGTAAATCAGCCACCATACATAATCCTTTAACTGGCCATTGTGCTTATATATACTGTCGATAGTTGAGAGACCGGTGCGTATACAATCACCGTAGGGAACGTGTTACAGTATCGCGTTTTCCGGTTACAGTATAGAATTTTAAAGATTGAGGATTATTTGTTGGGAGGACAGGTAGGTGATTTTTATCCCGGTCCATACTACAAGTAGTTTAGTTTCTAAAAGATGTTTTTGTGCTTTGCTTGTAAGGAACAGAATCCGGTATCTAGCCAAATATTTCTTCAGACTCTGCACAGCAGATTTATCGCTATATTGTCTCATAAATATGCAGAAAATTTGAATCGAGAGACCAACGCATTTTTCTTCATTTT